TACGCAAAAACAATACACCACGACCGCAGATCAAACGACCTACATGCAAAGCTTCCGTATATGGCTTGCTGATGGCAAGTAGGTGACTGAACTTGGTGGAATTGGTAAACTTGAACGTGTCGCGCGAATTTCCCTTCTGTCTTTCCTTTCAAGCAGTGATTAATGTCCCTTCTGCGTTTGCCGACCGTGGGCAAAAAGGTCTGTGTCTGTCACTAAGACATGTGAAACCAAACTTCCGCTGCCAGCGCATGGGTACCGGTAGTTTATGTTGTGCTTTTACGACAGTTCATTTGTTGGTCACGTTTAAAGCCTGGATTTATACCTTACCAGCAAAATATCTTTTACAATATTGTATAAAAAATTGTTAATATTAATTCATCGAGTTACATCTGAACAGATGGTAATAATTAATATCATTCACAATGTGAAATAATTTCCTTCCCATTGTGCTCTTCTTTATGTCCTTTTCTTCATCTTTATTCATTATAATCTAATCCAATAATATTTGGATTTTGTATGATATGCTATATGCCTGAAATTACACTGATACTCACACACCTGTCAATTTTAAAGATGTTTTAAAATATTAGTCCTTTTTAGCAATTGTCAGAATATTCCTATTAGCGCCTGTCGTTCTCCACAACAGTTTCTGTATAACGCAGTTTCTTTTAAAGTTGATCACGTTTTCGACGATTCCAATGGATTTAAAATGAAACGCGTAGGAGGGAACACGTCACAGTATACTACCTGTGGAATCGAAGAGACCACCGTCTGTGAAGAGATTGAAATCAAAAGAAGACAACCAGGGACAGAATATTGCTTTCTATCCCGCGTCCCGTTCTAGCCAATTAAACTTCGCATGACGGCACAGACAATTCTGCACTTGACTATAACAACAGCCTCGAGGGCGATATAACATTTAAAAAAAAAACAATGAAAGCTTTCTTCGATTCCGACGATGAAGCGACCATGACATGTTTCGATTGTGAGCCCCGCGCTGGAGGAAACGTCGCCAACGCGTGAAAGAGCAGAACGTGTTTACTTTCTTTAAAAGAGCAAAATATTTCATTCGTGAGTTATTGCCTGCCTCCATTAAAACATAAAAAGAGTCAGTTATAAGTTGTCCTCTATTTGGCTAGTCACTAGTGGCAACCGAATCTGGTTGTGTTTGAAATGAAGTAATTTGACAGAAAGTTTTAGAAAGCAAAGTGAAGTACGCTGTAAACTCCTCATGATTCTCACATTTTAAACAGATGCCACTAAAATTTAATACTTTGTTGTCCTCAAAATAAAACTCAAGGACTTTTGGGGTCGATACCCTTTTGCCAGAAAGCGACATGGGATTAGAGGACGGAGTAGTTTCACTTGAGTACACATTTTGCATCGTTGATGGCTGTTTTTCTGTCCAGTTTCTTTCATCTTTTTTTTTTTTTGAGTGACAGAGATTACTAGATAATGGTTTAAATCCTAGTATTTGTCCATCCCGGGAAAGATATCTTCGCGATAACTTCACCTTTTCTTTAAAAAGCGACACCCTCCCGTAATGTTTATCTCGTTCAAGAAACCCATCACAGCGTACTTTTCTACAAGGTTCTGTTAAGTAATATTTCGTCATCGTGTCTTGAAAAACCAGCGAAGTTTATAAATGTGAGATTATTCACACCGAGAGATTGCTGTTTATTTGTTAAATCTTCCCCGTTATACCTTACTGCTAATTTTGACCGAATACCTGTGTTTCGTTATCTGAAAGTTGCTTGTTCGCTCGGCAATTGTCTTTGACACACTGTGAATTCTCCCACCCCCGTAGTAACCGGTCTTGGGTTGATGACGTGTTGTTTTGTCCAGGGTACACCCGTACCGTCCCCAGGTCGATTCTTCTGGCGACGGTGCGTGTCCTCTCTCACCCATGACATGTGGCGATGCATGACGTTTGTCATCAGCCAAGTCGATATCCCCTTAATTACCTTCGTATCTTGACATCACCGAGATGTCAAGCACTAGCACACGGACAAAAATTGCCACAGAACTCCGCAAATCCGTAGCTCTTTTTACGGTACCAAAAGTTGCACAAGATACCTTCCGGTCCTCCAAATTAAAGAACTGTCGGTAAATTTGACACCCAAGTTCAAACACCTTCAGAACCAAACGGACGGAAACAAACTCCCTGGCCTGTCCTAAAGTGTAAGACCTCCTGATTTTGCACTTTTCCTGTGATCGACAACCGTCAGGTGAATCAACGAAATAACACTCTTGGCGATTCCGCTGGCCATATCATTGCAGTAGGCCTGTACAGTACATAGAAGTGTTGTGCGTGCACATCGAGGGAGAAGTTGGCTCGTTTGATGTGTGGTTTCTAGTCCAACTTGATACCGCAAGGCAAATTGTCAACGAACTTCGTCAAATAATTTTTGCTTCCTTTTATAAATTGTTGGGAGATTTACACATCACAATAACAAGTAGAAGTTTTTCTATGATCATACAAAAGATCATTCAAGTTAAGCTGGAAGCTAATATCGATGTACTTTGTGGGCACATAGTGGGAACAGGTGTTCATGTATAATATGTAGAAAAAATCCTATGACCTTCCCAACCGAGGGCTGCATGACATCCAGTATTAAAGAAAAAATATAGACAGTTGCGTCTGAAACTTCATGCATCATCTCAGAAAAGCAAAAATTAATTTGTTTGCGAAGCATTTGGTGGTGGACACACAGGCATGTTAATGAGCACAAATATCCCAGACCCTCGCAAACCCTTGTATTAAGTTCAGAGATTATTAAACAAAATGTTTAAAAAGTTGAGTATATGCGAGCAACGTCAACGATCGTGAAAATGTCATGAGCTAAGCCGGCAGTCTAAGTGAATCAGCTGGTACGAAAATCTAATAAAGAAAGTATGGCTGCAAGGCGACTGAATTGAGGCACCTCAACAAGAGCTCAAAACTTTACATGTTACGTCTTCATTCACGAAAAGGATTTTACGATGCGTGGAAAGTATTTCTAACCTAATTTGGGCATCACAAAAACACTGACATGTCCCAACTTTGTCACTTCGGCTTCTTCTCTTACTCACTGTACACGTTACCATAATTATAATATTTTCTCTGTGCTCTTGCTTAGCGTCCTTCCAATGGGGCAGGATTCACCATTGCTCACTTCTGTGTGGGGAGATTCTGTTTACACTCGTAAATCATTCTTGGGCTCATAATGTGCCGCTGGTATAGAAATTTGTAAGAGAGGTCAGGAGTTGTGTTGCCTCGCTAACTTCTATACACACTTCGTTTGGGCTTCCGTTTATCATGCACCACTTGTTTTAGGTTTCATCGTTGAAAGGCTTGTGTCATGGGCTTATTAAGTTACTGAGCCGGATGCTTCTTTATGTGCAAACAATAACAGCTACGAAAATAACGATGATGCCTGTTATCATAGAAATCTACCGTATAGGATCCAGAAAGCAATCATAAACATTCTGCCTGTGGACGGGGGGTAATTAAAACGTTCAACCTCTCTTATGTTTGCCTAACAATATGTCTTAATTGAATGACAGTAATCGTGTGTTTTGCCAGGAAAAGCCTTGCCGGTCTCAGGGTGGTTAGCGAGAGGTTAATCATCGAATTTGTCATAATTTGCCTCTTGTTTCTTGTTGACAGGAGATAGTCTGTCTTCTGAGTGACCAAATGCACTCCTACACCAAGGTCTTATTGTTGTGCAGCTTTCTCGGCTTCCTTATTGCAAAAGTCGCTTCCATGCGGTCAACACGAGCGCCAGTGGGTCTTCCGATTTTCAATTAAATTTACCAGTCTGAATTGGACAATGTAATCATTGAAAAGTACCGTGTAATCCATTTTTGCCGTCCTTCGGTTGCAAATATTGCAGCAGACAGCACCTGTGTAAACGAGCTGCATTTTATTTGCAATGTTCTTGCCTAGAAATTCCCAACAATTGAAGTATTTCATTGTATAAAGTGAATGTGTCAGCTATGTGAATTATGTCGTTAGAATATATTAGTATCAAGTTATTGACAACAATGAGCCACGCCCCTAGGCCCTACAATAGCTTTGTGCGACAAGAGTTTGTTTCATTTTAAAAACAGGGGTGTTTCCTATATTGATTTAGATTTTTGTGAATGGCGCTTAAGGAGCAGTTTAGAGAAGATGACTTCACCTGTTACCCAAAGTTTTAGTGCCCGGGACGTGCTTTGGGAGTGGACATTTTTCGTTGGAAATGCGCTCGCCGATTTGTTGAAAGCATCCGTTTTAGGATGTGGGATTGGGTGATAGAAAGACTCACGCAGAGGGTGTCGTTTTGCGTTGCTACCGGTGAGAAATGGTGCTGGTCCTGTTTATTGACACTATTGGGTGAGCTGAGGTGTCGCATTCTTTTAAAGGTAATTACCCAGTCTCTAAGAATTAAATGAATCCGTAGTTTGAATTACACCGCAATACAAAACGGTCTACGTGAATTGTGACTAAAATAATCTTGAGAAGGTTGTGTCAGGATTGCTCATCCGTTTTGTGGACTATTTTCAACTTCATGAAAAAAACGACTTTTTGTGCAAATTTTTATTCTTGTCATTGAAGAACTAAGCCAGTATCTACAAGACTTACAGACGAAAAGACAATTCACTCTAAATGTCGTGACCTGCCCGGTTTCACGTTCTTTCACCACACCCGACGGAGCACTTGTCGTGACTCGATATAGCACTGTCAATCTGGAATGCTGCTTTTAAGATGGCTGTCATTATTCAATCCATATGTACTTATAGCCTCATCTCCAGTCGTCTGTCTCCATCAATCTTATTTCTGGGGTTCTATAGGAGTAATATGATTTGTTACATCCAGAGGAAATATCAGTGAGTGTGTGTGAACGTATTGTGTCACTCTCAGGCATAGTACCGCCTACCCAAAGAAAAAAGCGGGTTGTGCCGAAAGGCCCCGTCGGTTTGTGGTGCTTTACTTCCGACGGAAGCACGCCCGCGCATGCCCAGGCTTATAAAGGCAGCGCGTGCGCTTAGAGTCCTTCAGTTGGTGACTGGCTGTTGGGTCTAGTGGACGAAAGACACAAGAAACTACCCTTGAGGAATTCACAGTTCAGTGCGCATTAACAAATTTTGCAATTACAAGCCGAGGTAATCTGGAAGGAGAGATCCGCAAGGACGTTCTGCGATTGTCTGCTTCGACAAAGTCAAAAGGACAAGTTGAAGGGAAGACGAGAAAAATCGCAGTGTAAGTTCGACGTTGGCTCGAAGAGGCACGGTTGAGGTTCGGGCTGTTGACGGGACAGAGTGAAGATCTCCGAGGGAACAGAAAGAAGCAATGAACATGAAGGTGGACAGCCTTCTCGTGGTCTGTGGCATGGTCTGGCTGGTTCTACTAGTGGCCATCCTAACCGATGTCAGTGCTAAACCCCTTAACGAGCCAGCAGAACTCCAGTCTAGGAGACCCCGCCACAGGTTGAGTCTCCAATTCTCCCGGACTGTTCCTGATTTTGTAGCGGGCGCCCTGGACCAGCTGCATCATCGCGAAAAGCGATTCCCCAGAGTGGTAAGTACTCGTCCAATTTCAATCTCCAATATTTAATAGATCTTTACGGCACGCGACTGAAATGTTTGAACTCCTATCCACGCTGGACCCTTTATTGTATTATCTGTTGGTATTTTTAGATTTCAGTACCGGTAATCATATTTTTACGTGTGTGGTTTGTGGGCCGACGTGAAGGTATTCGAAGTGTTTGTCCCGTGAGGCACCTAAAGGCCGAGCAAAACTTATCTAGTCTCGCGTGACAAATTACAAAAAAAATCGCCGAACACCTGACGCACTGTCTGTTCTTTTCCCGCGGCTCAAAAACCGGAGTGTCGTCTGGCGATGTTTGTAAGCTTTGCCTACTGTCATGTTAGGGTCTAAAAGTGCTCCCAGCGCAAGTTGTCAGAGTGTTGAAATTTACGACACGTTTTGTTTCCCTGTTAATCATTGACAAATTATAGGCAAAGGAAAAACGCAGGCATCCACAAGCGAGTCCATTTTGCTTATATTTGCAGGTGTTAGAATATTCTTATATTCTATAAACTACCCTACCCTATTTCTTAAGTCTCGAGATTGGTCATGATACGTGCATTTTGAGAGTAATATAAAGTGTAAGAGTTTTTCACAATGAAAAAATCCTACTGGTGATTTAACTCAATCATCACGCTTGCTTGACATTGGCAAAACTGAACGAGCGTTTTTACATATTTACATATTTTACATATTATATTCTGGTTTTAGAAAATAATTAGTATTCAGATTTCCAAAAAAAAAATAAAATATGATCGCGTAAAGTTCCCCTGGGGTTAGGCGATATGGATCAGATTTTATTCCGTCCCACACTTACTCTGCTGGTAGAAACCTCCTCCAAAGATGAAAATGTTTACATGAACCTCTGTCGTCACTATCTATGGCTTTGTGGACTCACAGCTATTTCGAATTATACAATTGAATGCATGGGTAGCGAACTCTTTCAAAAAAAAATATATTGTGCTAATACAATTGTGACCAGTGAAACTGGCGGAAAATTGCATTGTAAATTAGCGGGTAACACAAGGTCCGTACTTCGAACCGTGTTTTCCTGTGGACGTCAGGGGGTAATTTTTATAATATTTTGGTCGACGAAATTCTTTTTAAAATGATCACTTTAACTCACATCTTGCAAGAACTTATGATCTGAGCAACACTGAAAGGTTTCCTTGTATTTGAGTGCGACAGCATCTAGAAAAATATGATAAAAACGCTAATTTGGTTTGCAAGGGAGGACTGTATGTGGCGCATTAATATTTCCGCCTCGCAGAGGGTCTTTTCTCTATATGTTTGAAGTAAAGTAGTTAGAAAAACACGATAACAGGTGAATGGGGTTGAGATGAACATATTTGGTTCTGTTATTTTGCTTAACTTAAACTTATGACGTCCGCGTAACCACGGGAATATAACCTCGTTCACCAATGCTAAAGCCAATAATTATCATTTATACGACGGTTGCTTTTTATTTGTGCAAAATGAATGAACGGAAGACAAGTCCCGTAATAATTTAGTCGTAAAATTAAATTTAAATCGACCATTTGAAGTCAAGAGACATCATCCGGCAAAGAAAATCACATTAACAACCTCAAGAAGTAAATGGACGTCGCTTCACATAAACATGTAACACATCTTGGTGAAAGAAATTGTCTCGTATTGCTCTGTCGCGCAGAGATTGCTTAGCACCAAGTTGCGTCGCGATCTGAATATGATCCAGGAGACACGGCGACCCCATGATACGCCAATAACATAATCCCAGCGTGCGATAATAAATCTGTGGTATTTCGGAAGTCCGGAGTGTGCCTGATTGGCACGTGTGAGTGACGGCTTAATCACTACGAGGCAAGGCAATTTTTTTCAGCAAAATGCCCGCCAGTTCTGGCGGTGACGCTTCGCGTGTCGCTCGGTGACCCAAACTCTCAACAGTCTCATGATGCGACCCTCACTCCGTTTAATTTGGGTCAGAAATCGCCGCTTTGCTGACACTTTCATACATTTTATTTACATCTGCTGACCAGCCATGCTTTAATAAAACCCACTTGAATTCTTTCCACTGATTTCCCCTTCCCTTTTTTTTTAATTAGAAGTGAACATATTGGAAGAAGTTTCATTAAAGTCACCGTTAGCCCTCCTGGTCGTGGGCAGTGAAAGTCAGGCCAATAACTGTCATTAATTTTAAAAAAAAACTCATTCATTCAAGTTTTTAGGACGTGGCACCGCGGTTGAAACCCTGTATCCAAAACCGTTCCAAGACTAGTCATTTCTCTTTTTTTGCACAATGTCGAGTAAATAGACACTTACGATTAGACGCCAACTCAAAAAGGCCCATCTATCTAAATGGATAGATAATAAAATGGTGTGTACTTTTTCTATTAAGAGGCTCGTCCGTTGATAACGCTGGGATGGTACTACGGATTAGTCGTGACACGGACGCACCTTCGATGTCTCCACCCCGTGCATGGTGGTGTTTCTTGTACGGATCTATCTGTCGTCCTATGGCAACGATGTAAACACATGCCCAGTTTAGGCATTTCTGGCCGAAGTTGGCTTCATTTCGTGTTTGGGTTTATACATCTGTGGCTCCGAATGCATTCATGTTCAAAATAAAATCATAAAAGCTCTTTTCCTCAATAACATGAATTCAGGAGCAATTCTTTGGCAATATTTTATTTTTTTTCTCAACAAAACTGACGATGCCGAAGACGAAAGAGTGCTGGGGTGGTTTTTTTATGTTTTATCTGGAAATTTCTTCCAATGTTGCGCTACTTTTGTCGTGGTCAGTTTTTTCTGTCGTATTTCAGCACCAAAAATATAAAAATGATAGCATTAACCAGTTCAAGGGTATGGCATAATTGATAACAGACAAAAAGTGTGACTTGTTCTAAATTACTTCCAGTGGTCATTTAACTCACGCCATCTCCACCTTGTCGTGTTCAAAAAACATGAAACGCAATACCAAATCCGCGGGACTTTATTAATAATTTCATTGCGACCCAAGCGACCAAGGCAGCGCATGGTTGACCAGGTCATCCTGGTTCATTAAAGTTCGAGGACATTTTCTTTCACTTCGTCATTGATTCTGTTATGTATACATATCCCTTTAAAACACTCAAAGGTAAAACAGCCATCACTAACACCCGATGTTGACTGGCTCATTTCTTATTGAAAATATTGATCGTCCATGTCAAAGCATAATCGAGCAACCTGCGTGACAATCTTAGCCTGCGCTCGCCCGGATGGAAAAGTAACGATTTTATCCGACTACACGCGCGCATTTAATGGACTGAATCGGAACAAATGTTTTAGGAGTAACATCGGGAAATTACGACATTCCAATTTGGAACGGGACACGTTCGACACGTAGGTGCTGGTCTTAACAGCTCGTTGTTGGTGTTTTTGAGATAAGACACCGAAGTCGCCCAAGGCCAGAAATATTTTGGAAATTCTTTCACGTCGGATGGGGGTATATGTTAACCCATTGCTTAATGTGCAAGGAGGTCTTTCTTAGATTTAGTCTTCGGCTGCATCCGAATCTGTTGTCCAGAGGTCCAGAGCTAGGTCTAGATCTTCACTCCATTGAAAGTACGTGGAAACGCGCAGACAATAGGCCTAGCCGTCGCTCTGGAAGCCTGTTTCGGACACGGCCGTAGAGACTTAAAGCATTTATTATCTTGAGATGAGGGCGAGCCCCAACATGTCCCTTTTTCAGAAGTTGTGTTTGAACAGCTATACTTCTCCCCTTAAATCTAGGTCTTCAAATCCTCGTTCTCATCAGTAAAATGACTGCGGGTTCACTAAACTGCATAGTCATAGAAAAGTTCATGACACCAAGAAATCGAATGGCTGTCTACCGAGTAATGAAGTTTAATGAGACGACGGCAGCGTAATTTATTTGAATCAATTTGCCAGACAGCAATGGTTGACATTACGTTGTATACCTCCGACTTGCGAGCTAGGCCATCTTTTTTATTTTAGTGCGGTTACATTCCGATCAGTCGTCAGCAATTTTGTCAGCACAATCCTTGGAATAGTTAACAGCAAAGTTGACTCAATGGTCCAAGGTGTTTAATTCATTGTTCATCCGTTCAACAATACCTTTTCCTTTTGCCCATTGATGGCTTTGCAAACTGATTTATTTCCTTGTTTTTTTTCTCTCACGGGGCTTCAGTGCAACTTTCTCATGTGACCTGCCAGGTCGTTTTTTATAACTTGGATTGATTTCATATTTTCGCTTCTAACGTTGTCTGACTGTAAGTCGATTCCGAATAGTCGTGTCGTGGAATATCAAAGCTGATTTACATTCGACATAGAAGATCTCAATTTCCAATGTTGTCTTTTATCCCTCCGTAAGCCTAACTTGAGTTAATTTTTTTGTACATGCTGTTGAATATGTTTGATTGTTTACTGTTTTTCCCGTTTTATCAATGCTTCAGACTTGATTTTTTTTAATTATTATTTTGTGCATTCTCTTGGGCTCATTTTCCCATTTTTTTTCTCTCCTTACAGCCGATGGGAAGTCCGTGTAATGCAGACAGTCAGTGTCCGGGAAACTACTGTTGCGCCATGAAGCTAGGCAAGGCCGTCTGTATGCCGAGGCTGGTACGAGGCAGGACGTGTATGATCAACGGACCACAAGCCTACTCACCCCACCTTTTCTTCACGCAGTGCCCGTGCAACAGCGTAGAGGGATTATCGTGCCAACGCGTAGGGCACGGCAACCGCGGTATCTGCAGCTAAAAAGCCGTGTACCAGACTCGAGTATATAGCCCCAGCATGTACAGAAACAACATCAACCACATCCACAAAGACAACGCCACCAAGTAACAAGTCGACATGACTGTAGCTGTGAATGCCAGTCCAAACGAGCAGCCCACGACCCTGTGACTCTCGGTCGTGGTTCCACCAAAACTTCTTTTTGTAAGTCACGCAAGATACTGTAGAATTCGGCCTGTACATTTTGGTATAGCTCTGCACTGCACGTACCCTCCTCCAAGGCAATCAAGGCACCGCAAATGCACAGCACGAATTTAGAGACAAACAACCAAATAAAGAACAAAGATTAAAGGCAACGACTGAATTTCCTTTGAAAACAACGCTGTGTACTTTTTACTGTACTGCAGTACTCCATGTGTGTTTCTGCACCACCCCTTGACATGACAACTTCGCTGGTGAGAGAATGGAATTGTACCTTAATCGGTCCGGAAACTTTACCGAAACAAAATAGATGTATTAACTTTAGAAAGGACGAATGGACTTGCCACAATGGCCAACGCAGACGATGAGTAGGTACTAACAACCGTGAGCCAGGTGAGGATGAAATGCAGCCTTGACCTTCGCTTCCTCTTTATCGTTCCGATCACTGTGGACGATTTGGTTGCATTAAATGCTTTCTATACCTGTCCATCAAATAACCCTGGCGACCGACGATTGTGGAGAAGTGATACGCCTCTTCATGCAACATCCATCCACTTCACTGACAACTTGAGAGAGTAGGAATGGACTGCGACAGTGAGCAGATTGTGACTGACCGTTTATCAACAGCTTTGTGTATTTCTTTGTCAGTGATGCTGTTTGTTTCTATGCGGGTATTCTTCTCATCGCGGGAGGAAAAATTTCCGTGTATTCTTTTGTCACTTTGAGCTTTCACAAAAACACAGAACTTATGTATTCTTATTATCAAGAAAGGAAAAGTCTATTTGGAAGTTTGCCGCCCTCTTCCGTAGTAAAGTAGTTTTGTGAAAGAGGCCTTGTAGCTCATTGATATCCAAGGCCACTTGGTGATTCGGCTACGGTGCTGTGTGTATTAGTCCCCCTCCACCGACAAAAATAGGACCTTTCTTGACGTCTTTGTGCGCGCTATTCACATGTAAGGCCTGTTAAACAAATTCACTGCATTAGAGATAAAGAGATAATTTTTCTTTAAATACAAGGCTCTCGATTGAAAGAGAGATTTTGCAAATTCAATGTCCCTGGTTCCCTGTATGATATTCTTGCTCGCAGTGGTCTCTCACCTAACTTCATTCCCAAATTGTGCGGGTGTTTGAAATTGCAGTTATTTTCGAACTCGCCTCTGTAGAAACTTCGTTCCGCCGTAGCATCTGTAGAAATAAGGATCGCTCCAAAAGGAATTTATGCCCAATCTAATAATTTTCACCCTGTTTTTTCTCAGCACTTTGCCAACACAGTGTTAGTATATATTGATATTTAAAAACTATTTATTTATAAAAACTATAAAATGTATAACTTGCCTTTCTTGGTTTTGAATCAGTGGCTCTCTGAAGAAGACGAGTTAGCCAAAAGTAACGCCTTGCTATTCAAACAGATTGACGGGAAATTTGTACGTAATTATAAAGAAAAAATACTTCGTGTATATAATGACTACTGTACATAAAATGTACTGAGACGAAATGTACCGTATGCCGACAATGTCGCGTATAACTGCTTTGCTCGTGTGATTAGAATAAGCAGCTTCAAAGTGCATTTGACGTCCCCCGCCATTACCGCATGCCAGTAAGCTGATAGACGGTAGAGATAAATTATGCAGAAAAAAATATATTTTGTGAGAAACTGATGAAGTTTAATTATTCGAACTTCCTGCACTATCGAGAAACAAATTGTTTGATGTGGCGTTTGGGAGCTTGAAATTGAGTGATTTTTTTTATTGTGATATTGTCGCTGTTTGGTTTAAAACGATTATCCTAGCACAATATATATGGCGATATCGCCCTTCTGCGAAATCGCCCCAAAACACAAAACCAGCAACAAAACGAGATTTTGTACACGTCATGTTTTTGCTTGACGCATCCAGCCCCGATCAACACTTTGAATTCGAGATCCACTTGCCTTCATAATTTACGAGATATGGCCATCATGAGGCAATGTCCCGCGAAGGTTCAGCCTTGTTGGGCCTGAGTAAATACCGATTTCTCGCACAGCATGGAGCGGGTTGATTGAAGGAACGCGTGGCCGGGAGCAAGGACACAAACATTGTCCATCAAGCGCCTCTCTCGCCGCAATTACTAATAGAATATACCAGGCTTTCGTGTCATTAAACAATCGCAAACATCAAAAAATAAAAAAAACATTAAAGCGGATGTCTAGGTTTCTCCACTTCCACCAAAACATTACACCAATATTTAGGCCAAATAGAATGAGTGTGTGGTTGCAAATGATATCGTTTACTACTTCGAATTGCTAAGATCTCGACCAAGGTTGGTCTCAAACACGAAATGATAAATTTGCTCAGCAAGTATGAGAAAAACGGGTGGTTTTATGCTACAGTTAGCTACATAGAATGTCATGATTACTGGTCTATTCTTTACCTTTTGCGCTTCTTCCAGTGATACTTTGGTCCAAGAGGAGACAAGGATTGAACGGAATTGCATTAATTAACCCCCCAGCCATCGATATCGCCTGCTTTAAATATTGCTCAACATTCTCTGCTCGTCAGTAGTCGGCTGTGTGGCATACAAGATGTGTATAATTGTTGATTTTTTGAGTGTATGTTCATCGCTATTTTATGTTGTGTAAATTATTCTCTGTGATTAAATTATTGATTCTTTAAATTATTCACAAGACAAAGCTTAGATGTATTCAAATTATGTCGATGGAAAATAAAGAGAAAGAAAGATCAAAATGAATATGAAGATGAATTAGTGAATAATTTTTGGCGTATCCCAAGAGGACTTTGATATCAGACTTTCTGCCAACATTTAGCTGATGAGCGCTGTGTTTCTCATTAACGAAGTCCCCCCCCCCCACCCAATAAAGGCGAAAATCTGTTTCGCACCCAGTGGCATATTCAGTGGGAAGACAGACCCTTTCATGTTGCCTTTTAGAAGATTTGGCGCCTGTATTTTAGAAACAGCACCGCAGCCTTCCTTCAGAGGTGACAGTTGTTTGTAGACATTTCCGTGCTGCTCCCTTGACCCAAGACCTGGGTACGCCTATGCTCGTATCATCCTTCCAATAAACAGATGAAAGAATGCAAATTACCTGCCAAACAAATAGTAATAGTTTGAAATAAATCGATTTCAGTAATATTTTCATGTCAACTAACAAAGGTCAAATGTAACAGGGACACAAATGTCACACTTTTGGACCCCTAATTTCCAGAATTACCCATTTAACTTCCTCTTTATGAGGGGAAGTGTTTCATTTGGTTATAGATGAAAAACAAGCTTTAAAATGATTGTTTAACGTCAATTGATATATAGGGTGAAATTTCCTTTGAATCTCACAAGAAAACATTTTTTTGTGTTTATGAATTCGTAGCGGAAGCAAACTGACGACAACACGCAATGACGTATGACGACCTGCGCGATTTCAATTTCTGTGTTGCTTAAGCTTCAAATTAACCAGCCGCAAAATGTCAGCTTTGAAATCAATATCAATCACTTAATCTTTAAAAATATCAAATGAGGGTTTTCAAGATCTGGCAGTGTTGGCGCCTCCTAGGAGAGACTAAAATAATGTGTACTGACAGCTGGGTCACTCAGCGTCTTCCAATATTTGTGTATGCAATTTACAACCGTGTCGGTTTTATATGGCGCATACATCACAGAATAACGTTGTCCGCCTTCATCGTCCGTGTAATTCTGGCGTATGTCCATCCAACGGGGAAATATTTCCTCGCTTTGTTCCAGCAATAAATTCTTTGACAACTAAATCAACCAGCATCTGCTACTAAATGATAAATCAGGTCGGAAGAGAGAGGCAATCTAATCAGATCGGAGAATATTTTCAATGAAAGTAATTGTGGTCGTAGGCAGCCGACCACTTCCGGTTATTAAAAAAAGAAACTAATTTGAGTGGTTGATTGTAAGACCAAAATGGTAAGTGTTGTCTGTGATGGCGGACACTAAAATGCGAATGTTGCGTTCAGAAATTGCAAAATTTAATTCCTTCTTGTGTTTCAGGTCCGTGGTAGAATTTTTTCTGTGTTTTAGAATTTGGTGATTGTTGGTTTTTAAAGGAGCATTCTTAGCATATTGGTGATCATCAGCAAAATGCTTAAATGTAAAATTTAAATTTAAATTTAAAATGGAAAATGTAAGTTCGACACTTACGCAAATAAAATAGATGTTGGTTATAGATGGGATTGGCTCTGAACTACATTGGCTTAAATCACAGACATATAAACGCATAGACCGCCAGTCTTGCGTGTAAAACCGTGATTTTGAAAAGTATGGGCAAACAATGGGCGAAGCGACGCATGGCAGCGCGTCCAGTGCGCATTACGCGCGACGCAGTTACATTGCCTGTATTTGTTTACATGTGCTCCCAAAATGCGTTCACCTTTTTGCTCTTCGGTACTGCTATCTCTTCTTTTCAGATGCGCGTCCCAATAAAACGATAGCACCCTGGACAGACCATGAGCACCCCCCGCGCGCAAACATCTTTCTAAAAAATGTTCCAGAGATTGATATCAAAAAGACTTTAAATGAAGCTTTTTAGTATGAGATTTAGATTTGAGTGAGTACTACTCCGTTCGATATGTTGATCCATTCCCTTATGGTACACGTAGCCATTGGTTCGGCAACGTGCAATTTGCAGAGTGCGTCTTTTTCAAAAGTAATTGTAACAAGTGGCAGAAATATTTCAAACTTTTTCTCGAATTACGATTTGGGGCCTAATAAATTACAAACTTATCAAATCAAGGTAGGGGAGCGCCGAGCATGATCTGATTTCCCTGTTTGGTTCAGTAACAATAAATATTACAGAAGTAGGCTACCTTGACTGCCTTGTCGTTCCTTCGCCCAGAAAGATAGTGATTTCCGCGAAAACATGCCAACAAACACTGCCATCACATGGAGTATCCATTTTTGTTTTTTAACAATAAATGTCAGTGAAAAGAGCCGGTTTGAGTGATTGTGTTGCCGGCAGGGATCTCATGATCGCTGCGGTACATGCACCACCACGTCACTTTCTCACAGCTATGGGCACTCATGGATCTCAATTATTGTACAAACATCACGAGCGGCCTCCGTCATAGGACTGTTTTTTAGTACGCCTTGCAGGGTTTTTCTTTCCAAATATCACGGGACTTGAAGTTTAATAACAGGTTGATTTTAGTTCATCATCTGTTTCTATACTGAGAGGGATGTATACGGACAATTATCCCATAAAATGAACCCTGTCCCGCGTTAATTACCGTGGTCCAATCATTTACCTTGTTACGGTCAACAACTGACATATTTGAGACTGCCCAAACTATTGCCCTTTAATATTCAGCCGCTTACCTCCGTTTTGATCAATGCAAGATTGCACTGAATGTCATGCAAGTACTCCTGATCTACAAATAAAATACATGTATTCCCAGTTGGGGCCAGAATTTTACGAATAGTTTATCGCACCCAAAAAGTTCTTTTTGTTTGATACGTTGCAGTATCCAACCCCTGCGATAGAGTGAACCTCACACTGTTTTACTGTATGCGCTGGTTCAACGACCATGGACTAGGCGACACTTTCGGACGCAAAGTTACAGGCAGGGCTACCTTGACAAAAGGAGAGTTACTTCCGTCAAACAGTACAGATGAAATGAAGCTTTCAAGCAGCATTATTGGCTAAAATGCTTTGTCAGAAAACCGCAACAAATTGCTTTCATATATCATGGTAGCGTCACTGTTAAGTATTTTCTAAAGTGCGACGTCTTAAGTTGCTTGGCACGTGTGTGATACCGATCTACGGACAACAGTAAGAAGATCCTTATCGTATCATTGCTGTCGCTGGTATTTTGCAAGTTGCGTGTTAAAGATTTTTGCTTACATGTCTTTGTAGTGAGGTTACGTCAGACTGTTCTTGGTGCTGAGATCAGGAAGTTAGAGACAGCAACCCTTTTTTCTTTTTCTTTTTTGTTCTTTCCTTGAGAATCACTAAATTCCTTGAACGACAGCAAAGATCTGTATTCGATTTTTCCTCGAGATGGGTGCATCAAAGATATTGAAAACACCCGGATTTCATGCAATTATTCAACCGATAAAAAGGCTTTGATTTTGATTTGATTTCGAGACCGTCAAATGATTGGCATGAGTCCGACAGCCAGTTGTTTCTGTCCAGGATCATTCCTCTTCTCATTTCTTTCTTATTCTAGACGGTAACTCTCCACGACTCCGACTTGAAACTACATGAACCCCAACCCTAATCCCAACGTTTTTATTCTAGGGTTTTAACTGTAGCAAACACGATCCTTTAGTTTTATTTGTTATTGTTTTGCAGTTTGCTGTACATGGCGGGTTAATATCTACCTGGATAAACCGAGAGCAAGATGACAGCTTGGTGTCTCTTTAATAAAAGGAGTGCGCTGGAAGTAGTTCTCTAAGTATGTTGTTCTGTCTCCGTGCAGCTGACCATACGGTCGGCTGGACTTTGATTGGATTTTCCTACCTCGATTTCTCCGGCAATTGGACGGTATAATACCCTTGGTTAGTCCTGGGAAGAAGTACCGCCGGGGGGCTCTGGACTTCCCCGCTCGGACAGAAGGCTTCCGCCGGCCGCTCTAAGTACGAGGCGATATTTCACCATCGGAATCGATTGAAGATATAGGGCACTTGGGTTATTTCCTAGTCGATTGCTGGAGCCTTGAGCTGCTTAATAGAAGCAATTACCGTGGTTTATTGAGAGATGATGAATGTATGTATACAAATGGCATTATGTCCGTTGAGGGCAATAGATATTGTTGATTTTTCATTGGTCGAATGGATTGGTAAGCTTAGGTATACCAAACATTTAGTGAGTTTTACTGAACGCTTCGTGCAGGCTAATTCGAGTTGACGCCATAACTGCAGTAGAAGCACATCTGCCTTCTCTTGTGGCCACAGTCTGAAATTACTCACAACTCTGTGGAATGCAGCCACAATCTCAAAATCAGCGCCAGAATAATGGATTAGGATGAAGATATCCACATTTGTTGTCATCGTCTTAAGCGCAGACCATCCTTATGCCTGACTACACTTGATATTTGTTCCACGAATCGGCAGCCATGTCGTAACTGACATGTACAATGTAATCGTTAACCATGAGCTTTTGAACATACGGCACTTGAACTTACAGCGAAATTCACCAACGAATAAGCGGATTGAGCATTGATCTGTGGACACGGTGATCCCTCAGATGCATGAAATGAGAGTGCCTTTATGTTTACCGTCTGCTCCTGCAAGCATTTCTCAATTTATTACTCGGTTCAGTGAGAAGTACTTCATACTTCATACTTTCAATCGATATATTGACAATTGTATTACTGATAAAATAAATGACAAGAATAAAAGGTGCAAGGGATATAATAATGTCCACAATAAAAATTTACATCATTGTGCGTAAAGACAATAGGAACTCCTTACAAGTTTTGGATAATATGTAAATGGGAGAACTGACCAATAAATCGGCAGAGGAAAAAAATGACAGAAGAATTTTTTCAGGCAAAAAATTAAAGCATAATTTTAAAAAAATGTGTATTGCTATATACTTAGAATTTCTCTTTACCATATTAAGGTATTAGCTTAAAGTTCATTACACAAGATAATCAACTTAGAATCCGTTGATTACAGCAAAATTATTGCTGATACATTTTATTCCGACGGTGGATTTGTGTGTGTGTGTATACCGATAAAACTGTCGCTGCGGAACACAAAGCAATCGGAAA